GCCTGGGTTCAGGCAATTCTCCTGTCTCAGCCTCCTGAGTAGCTGGGATTACAGGCACACGCCACCATGCCCAGCTAATTTTTTGTATTTTTAGTAGAGACAGGGTTTCACCATGTTGACCAGGATGGTCTCGATCTCTTGACCTCGTGATCCACCCGCCTCGGCCTCCCAAAGTGCTGGGATTACAGGCTTGAGCCACCGCACCCGGCCTGAGCTGGATCTTAAAACATTTCTCCAGTTTGATTGAACTCATTGAAGGAGCAAATTTTTTTAAATTTTTGAGTTCCCAGTGTCCACCACAGTCTCTGACACTCAGTAAATGTTTATTGAAATGAATATGGGAGAGGCAATTAAATCAGGGATCCTGGAAGTAATGTGATTCAAAGAGAATGAGGGAAATCAGGAAAATGTGCTCACTGAGAGAAAAAGAAGAATTCGGGTTTCAACATGAAGTCATAAGGGCAATTGGTACTATGGCTTCAGAGGGAATGGGGAAGGATCTTCTTCATTCTTCTTTAAGTGGAATTATCATAAACAAACATGAGGAGGTATCAGATCCAAAGGACTCAGTCTAGAGCTCTCTCTTTAAAGAAGTCTGTGTCTTCTCTACTCTACATAGGTGCAACTGACTGTGTACATTATAATTAAGAAAGATTTAGAGAAAGTGAGGAAGAATTGGAATAAGGCACTAGACAGTTTGTGATCATGTACTGAAGATACAGGGCAGTCAGGTTCATGCTGACACAAAAGAGGTATGTTGAGGAATATGCACTGGTACTAGAGAGAGTGGGAAAAGGCTGAAAAGACTAGCATTGCAGGATTTTTTTTTTTTTTTTTTTAAGACAGGGTTTCACCATGTTTGTCAGGCTGGTCTTGAACTCCCAACCTCAGGTGATCCTCCTGCCGTGGCCTCCAAAGTGCTTGGATTACAGGCATGAACCACGACGCCCGGCCTGGATTTTTTTTTTTTTGAAACTGAGTCTCACTGTATTCCCCAGACTGGAGTGGAATGGCACGATCTCGGCTCACTGCAGCCTCTGCCTCCTGGGTTCAAGCAATTCTTGTGCTTCAGCCTCCCTGGTAGCTGGGATTACAGGCACCCACCAGCATACCTGGCTAATTTTTGTATTTTTAGTGGAGATGGGGTTTCACCATGTTGGCCGGGCTGGTCTCCAACTCCTGGCCTCAAGTGATCTGCCCGCCTCGGCCTCCCAAAGTGCTGGGATTGATAACAGACGAGAGCCACCACGCCTGGACAGATTTTTTTTATTCTCAGACAAATGCTGTAAACAGCTTAAAGGAAAAGTTAAAACATAAGGGAGGTCAACAAGAGGAAAAGACAAAGAACAACATAATTCAGTAAATAAAAGTTAGAATGTATTATTTAGACAAGATACAGATGTGGAGTAAGGCCACAGGCCTCCAATTTGGGTTAGGGTAGGGGTGCAGGGATTGTTAAACACAAATTGTGTGGTCTGAATAATCAGCTGAAGCCAGCAGGTGAACTGGCCTGACAGACACCAAAGGAAGCCCTGAATTCTGAAGCAGTGTTGTTCCCAAGACAATCAAAGAAATGGGTGATCTGGAGAGCTCATGCCAGCCAGCCTTACTCTGCTAGCAGAAAAGATGTGCCATGTTATAGCAGATCCCCCACAGCTGCAGAATATTCAGAATTTGTTAAACTGCCAAGCTTAGCATTTCAAGGACCAGGTTTTTGGTTTTTTTTTTTTTTGAGACGGAGTTTCGCTCTTGTTACCCAGGCTGGTGCAATGGCGCGATCTTGGCTCACTGCAACCTCCGCCTCCTGGGTTCAGGCAATTCTCCTGCCTCAGCCTCCTGAGTAGCTGGGATTACAGGCACGTGTCACCATGCCCAGCTAATTTTTTGTAGTTTTAGTAGAGACGGGGGTTTCACCATGTTGACCAGGATGGTCTCGATCTCTTGACCTCGTGATCCACCCGCCTCGGCCTCCCAAAGTGCTGGGATTACAGGCTTGAGCCACCGCACCCGGCCCCAAGGACCAGGTTTTAATTAAGTACAGGTTCATTTTGAAGCCTCTGAACCACTATTACACATCAGGGACACTTTTTTTTTTTTTTTTTTTGAGACAGAGTCTTGCTGTGTTGTTCAGGCTGAAGTACAGTGGTGTGATCTTGGCTCACTGCAGTTCCTGCCTCCTGGCTTGAAGAGATTCTCATGCCTCAGCCTCCAGAGTAGCTGAGACTACAGGTGCATGCCACCACACCCAGCTAATTTTTTATATTTTTGATAGAGACCGGATTATGCCTTGTTGCCAAAGCTGGTCTTAAACTGGATCAAATGATCTGCCCGCCTCAGCCTCCCAAAGTGCTAAGATTACAGGTGTGATCTGCCATGCCTGGCCTCAGGGATACTTTTTAAGGCTATACTTATAAGTCTTCTTAGGTAAACACTATTGAACTTGATCTCTATTATTTCAGTTTTGTGAAGGACACCATATAGGCAAAGACTGCCTTAGGATTGACTTCAAAAGTATTTGTGAGCTGTCAATTTTAACTTTAAAAGAAGTTAAAGGAGTCTGGGCGCGGTGGCTCATGCCTGTAAACCCAGCACTTTGGGAGGCCGAGGTGGGTGGATCACAAGGTCAGGAGTTCGAGACCAGCCTGACCAACATGGTGAAACCTCGTCTCTAAAAAGGAAACTCCTCCAGAAGTCCTCCAATGCCTGCATCACCAAAGAGTTTAAATCATTGAGGTCAGCAAGTCTTCCGTAATGAGTGCTTTCTTACCCTTCCTGGTTTCTGTTCCTTGTTTTCCCCTTTACAGCGCCTTTGGACGGGAGATGCTGAAGCGGAACATCGGTGTCGTTGTGGTGGGATTTCCTGCTACCCCAATTATTGAGTCCAGAGCCAGGTTCTGCCTGTCAGCAGCTCATACCAAAGAAATACTTGATACTGTAAGTAGGCACTTTCACCTTGATATAAATATGCCTTTCATTAAAAGGGTCTGAATATTAGATGACATTCATAATATGTTGATCCTAATGTTCTTTGAGGACCTAAGATATTTACTAGTAAGACAGAGGCCTTTCATTAAAAGGGCCTGAATATTAGATGACATTCATAATATATTGGTCCTGATGTTCTTTGAGCACCTAAGATATTTACTAATAAGACAGAGGAAGTGACACTGCTACCGAAAGCATTGGCATTTACAAATAAACTGTCACCCACCACACATCATCAGAGCTCTGGAGAGTTTTCCAGTTTTATCTTGCTCCATTGTCTCCCCTCACTTTGGACTCTACAGTTCTCTTTCTACTCTAGCTGTGTCTGCTCTAAGCTTTCTTGTATGTTGTTCTGTCTGAAATTTTCTCTCTTGAGCCTCTTTCCCCTCTGCCTAGCTGACTGCCACTCATTCTTCACATCTCCACTTAAAGGAAAATTGCTCAGGGGCACCCCCATACCTTCTTGCTCTGTGCTCCTTGGAATCCTGAGATTCTCCCTTACTAAACTCTTCACACCTGGAAATATTTAATAGCGTTCTTCTCCATTAGATAAATATTAAGGATAGGAACCAGTCTGTTTTACTCTTTCTATATCCCGGCACCCACCACACTGCCAGGCATCTAGCTGAGGATCATTATTACTAAACATAATTATTTATGATCTCAATATATTCTCATCTCTGTGTGTTCTCCTAATATGTTATTGCTTCAAATCTAAGATTTCAGACTTAAATCAGTATTGCTCTCTAGGAGTTTATAAAGCTTTAGAACATGACATTTGCATAAAATTAGTTGCTAGAAATATCCATTAATGAGTTAGAGAGCTACTAATCTTAAAGAACATTATGAGTGCTTCTTTATAAAGGTTCATTATAACAATTTGATTGACATTTTATATTCCTGAATAGTTGAAGACTTTTGACTTCTCTGTTTCCACACAGCAAAATTTCTAGGAGTGTGAGTGTATTCCCTTTTATTTTTATTTATTTATTTATTTATTTTTAAAGATGGGGTTTCACCATGATGGACAGACTGGTCTTGAACTCCTGACCTCAGGTGATCCATCCACCTCGGCCTCCCAAAGTGCTAAGATTACAGGCGTGAGCTACCATGCCCGGCCGTATTCCCTTTTAAAAAACAAAATTGTAGTAAGAACACTTAACATGAGATCTGTCCTCTTAACAATTTTTTCCGTGCATAATACAGTATTGTTAACTATAGGCACAGTGTTGTGAGTGTATTCTTAATCACATTCTGACGTTATCCAATTAGATTCAGCTTTTTGATACTGTATCTTTTCTTCTTTATTTTGATTATGCCTGTCAGATTTTTTTCAATAGATTTTTCTCATTTCTCAGAAATTTTACTGATGAATTTCTGCAATGATTTTTTTTAACCTAGAGATTTCAGCTTTTCTTTCCCTTCTGCTCTATTGATGTTTTAAGAGGTTCTTTTTTTTTCTCTCGTGTTCACCTATTAACTCAGAGTTTCAACATGCCTTTAACAAAAAGTCTACATAACTATAAGCAGTGTCTATGTCAATAACCTATGCTTTCTGACAACGACTTTGACTCATAAGAACTGTACACATTCATGAAAGAATTTAGATGTAACCAGGATATCTCCTTAGGATATCTAAGGAAATTTTTGTTGCCAACAAATATGTTTGCCAATTGAGAGTTCTAATTCTTTTTATAAGATACACTTGAGGGATTGTTGGGCTTTGCCTCCCATTTAGTTTTTTAAAGCATAAAGTGCCTTTTTTGAAATCACAGATTTGTTAGAGTCACTTTATCTTATGATGTTTTATGGAACTAACTATAAACTAAACCATTATGAGATACAAAGTAATTTGCATTTATTAATGGGCCCCATGACATGATTCTGTATATAGAGAGTGCTATGAAATATATATATATATACACACACCCCACATACACACACGGCTAGAGCTAATAAATAAATTCAGCAGAGTTGCAGGGTAAGAGATCAGCACACAGAAAATTCATGATTTCATACACCAGTAATGAACAAATGAAAAGAAAATTAAGAAAATTTCTTTTACAGTAACACTCAAAAGAATAAAATGCCTAGTGATAAACTTAAGAAAGCCTTCCCTCACCCCCAAAAAAGAGCCTTTCCCTTGTCCACTGGCTAATTTACATGTGTACTGTTATATTTAGATATATATACTGAAAACTATAAAACTTTGCTGAAAGAAATTAAAGGAAGACTTCAAGAAATGGAATGACATCCTGTGTTCATGGATTGGAAGATTTAATATTGTTAAGATGGCAGTATAGCAACCCACAGATCCAGTGTTCTGCATTTCTCAGAAAAAAAGTGGATTGGGAGACCCTAAGCCACTGGCCGTTTTTTGCAGAAATTGAAAGACTGATCCTCAAATTTATATGGAACTGGCAGGGCCCCCAAACACCTAAAATAGTGTTGAAAAGTAAAAGCAAAGTTGGAAGACGTACACTTCTTAATTTTAAAACAAAGCTAATTACTACAAAGGTACAGTAATTACAACAATGGATAGATATATAGGATAGATATATAGACCAGTGAAGTAGAATTGAGAGTTCAGAAATAAAGTACAGGCATCTATGGCCAACTTGTTTTCAACAACGGAGCCAAGACCAGTCAATGAAAAAAGAATATTCCCTTTGACAAACGGTACTAGGTCAGCTGGATGCTGAAGAAACAAGTTTTGACCCTACAGCATGGATAAACATTGAAAACACTAGGCTAAGTGAAAGAAGTCAAACACAAAGACCACATCACTTACTATTCTATTTCTAAGAAATGTCCGTAACATTAGCTGGGCATGGTGGTGCACACCTGTAATCCCAGCTACTCAGGAGGCTGAGGCAGGAGAATTGCTTAATCCCGGGAGGCAGAGGTTGCAGTGAGCCGAGATGGCACCACTGCACTCCAGCCTGGCGCCTGTTACCTGGCGACAAATCGAGACTGTCTCAAAAAAAAAAAAAAAAAGAAATGTCCAGAACAAGCAAATTCATAGGGTCAAAAAATAGATTGGTGGCAGCCAGGCTGAGAGGAGGGAGGAGTGAGGATTGATATAATGAGCATAGGGTTTCCTTTTAGGTTGATAAAAATACTCTAAAGCTAGATAATGACGAAAGTTGCACAACTTTGTGAACATACTTAGAAGCAATGAATTATATATCTTAAAAGTGAATTTTGGGCCAGGCGCAGTGACTCACACTTGTAATCCCTCGGCCAACACAGTAAAACCCCATTTCTACTAAGAATACAAAAATTAGCCAGGCTTGGTGGCAGGCACCTGTAATCCTACCTACTCAGGAGGCTGAAGCAGGAAAATTGCTTGAACCCGAGAGGCGGAGGTTGCACTGAACCGACATTGTGCCATTGAATTCCAGCCTGGACGACAGAGCTAGACTCGATCTCAGAAAAGAAAAGAAAAAGTGAATTTTGTTTAATGTGAATTGTATCAAAGCTGTACTTTTGTTATTTTTTAAAATGGGAAGTGCAAGGATATTGGCTCAGGGGAGTGGCAGGATGACTGTATGAGAGGATTTGGTTACGCAGCCCTATAACAAATACATGTTTTTCTCCTAGGAACCCACCTTACCTGTGATGCAGAGGTCCCACGTGGACTATTTTTTAATAAATAGTGACGCATATACTGGCTCCCTGTCTCTAACATACCCAAATACCCTACACAAGAGTCAGCACTCCTTAGAATGTTGTCTTTTATGCACATGACACTGATTTGTCTGAAATACTTGGTGTGGGATCAGAGGAAATCTTGTAGTCTAGATCCCCTTGGGCTACTGAGGACTTTTTTTTTTTTTTCTGTCTAATGACTACTTTCCACATTGATGAAGAAATTCTAGATTCTTCTGAAGTCAGAGTTCATAAATGCCCATTCCTTTGTGATCTTAGTCATGTGGACTTTTGTCTTATTATTTTTTTGACGCAGGGTCTCACTTTGTCACCCAGGCTGGAGTACAGTGTCATGATCTTGGCTCACTGCAACCTCCACCTCCTGGCCTCCAGCTCTTCCCACCTCAGCCTGCAGAGTAGCTGGGACTACTCCTGGCAAATTTTTTTTTTTTAAGAGATGCGGGTCAGGCCGGGCGTGGTGGCTCAAGCCTGTAATCCCAGCACTTTGGGAGGCCTAGGCGGGTGGATCACGAGGTCAGGAGATCGAGACCATCCTGGTCAACATGGTGAAACCCCGTCTCTACTAAAAATACAAAAAATGAGCTGGGCATGGTGGCGCGTGCCTGTAATCCCAGCTACTCAGGAGGCTGAGGCAGGAGAATTGCCTGAACCCAGGAGGCGGAGGTTGCGGTGAGCGCCATTGCACTCCAGCCTGGGTAACATGAGTGAAACTCCTTCCCAAAAAAAAAAAAAAAAAAA